TTGATGACACGATCTCAGGTTAGTTAACCATACATTGTACTCGTAGCTGAGAATATCTTTAAAGTAAAATTACTAGATGGCTAAGAAAATGAGTTATTTTGATCTCCTTATGGGCTTGCTAATCCGACTCTGTTTTGCTTACGCCTGAAAAAAACGTTGAAGAAATAATGCAAGATTTCTTTACTGCAAGAATGGCCATGCAATGCCCTGATAACTGCCTAGAATCTTGATTGGGAATGATGATGTAAAAATGAAGTACCCAGTGTGATGCACATGATTTCTCTATTCTTATGCAGAAAATTAAGGAAAGTGGCTGAATAATGGAAATATTCAGTGAAATTATTTGAATTTGGTAGATTGGAAGATCAGCAGGGCATTAGAAAGGACCTTTTGTAAGTTTCCGTATGGCATCCTTGTATACAAGCATCCCAGTTCAGGAAGCTAAAAAAACACTAGAAATCAGCTTAGAGTAACAGCAGATATTATTGGCGTGGAATATGTAAGCCAAAGCTCAATCCTAAGACTATTTAATATATCACATACTTCACCTTAAACTATAGGTTTTATTTGAATATATGAAGACCAAGATGTTTTGTCATGATTCCCAGAATCAGAAGTTTGAGAATGTATCAAGTACACTGTCAGATGCTGAGAATCATGACAACTACTATGGCAGACGACTTCGGACTAGGAGCGTTCTACATTTTCGCCCTGACAACAAGACCAAGTTGTGACAACGAGGTCGACCCATTACTATAGGTTTTATGATCATATGTAAATACTAACAGTAGGATCTTGATTGGTCCTAATCTTAGCAAATAATTACGTGTAAATAATATGGAAATACTTTCTGAAAGATGAATAAGCTTTACAGAAAAAATGCTAGTTAGATAACTAAACGATTATTTTGCAATTTGGTAGCACGATAAGGATATATTAGATAATTTACTGTTCTTAGGGTACTATTCAGTTGATAATGGAAAAAGAAGACGAAAGCCCAGCAAGAATTTAAGGAGATTGCCTTGAATACAGCATAAACAAAAATTTTCCAGTAAAGCCAATCGACGAATAGGAATCCGTAGTCTTCTTCTGGTGGGACCGGTCTTTACTACACACTTTCACACCTCATTAATCAAGAGGTTTTTTGAAACCCAAATTTTTATAGCATAAGTAACGTAGTCGATTTCACTAGTAGGGTACTAATTGTTCTCGTAGACAAACCAAATATAAACATGTAATATGGGAGAGGGCCAGCTTACCATAAAAAGTACGTCTGTCC